TCCCTTGTTCTCCAGGTGGGCGCCTGATTGCTGAACTTGACCCGCTTTCCCTTGAAACTTGTGCCGTCTTCCCTTGTTCTCCAGGTGGGCGCCTGATTGCTGAACCTCGAGCTGCCTTCTTCTGAAACTTGAACTGCTTTCCCTTGTTCTCCAGGTGGGCGCCTGATTGCTGAAGTTGAACCGCTTTCCCTTGAAACTTGTGTCGTCTTCCCTTGTTCTCCAGGTGGGCGCTTGATTGTTGAACCTTGAACTGCCTTCCTCTGGAACTTGAACTGCTTTCCCTTGTTCTCCAGGTGGGGCGCCTGATTGCTGAACTTGACCCGCTTTCTCTTAAAACTGCTTTTCTTTTGAACTGTCTTCCCTTGTTCTCCAGGTGGGCGCCTGATTGCTGGACTCGAATCCTCTTCTCTTGTTACTTGAAACTGTTTTNAATCTGAGCTCCGGGATAAAAATCTTCTTTTTCAAGCAAGTACCGGAAGAACATCTACATGAGGCATGGGATCGGTTCAAATTATATTTGGTGAGGTCTCCCAATCATGGTTTTCCGGATTCCATCTTATTGGAAAAATTCTACATGGGTTTAGATCCGATGAACCAATCTATAGCCAAGAATGCAGCTGACGGATCTTTTATGGACAAGACATTCACAAGGGTCACACAGATCCTTGACAAAATGGCACAACATAATTAAGCTTGGCACTCCGAGGACACCATAGGTGGAATTGCATATGGTTCTCCCTCCTTGACCAACCTAATTAAGGAGAATCAAGAGAGAGATCAAGTAATCGCAGGGCTTGCCACAAATGTCAATGTGTTGGCAAAAATGTTCACGGAAAGTCAAACAAAAAAGGTGAATGTGGTGGAGGATGTGCAACCTATATCAAATGAAGATTTTGAGGAAGCAAACTACATCAACAACCCTAAAGGAGGGTATCAAAGACAACAATACCAAGGTCAAGGACAATAAAATCAATGGAGACCAAACCTGCAAGGGCAAGGCAACCAACAATAGCGAAATGACCAAGGTAGCTCAAATCAAGGAAATTGGAATAACAGCAACAACTTCTCAAATCGGAGTTCAAATCCTTATGTTCCTCCAAAGGGTCAATATTCAAATCAAGGTTCCTCAAGTGATTCCAAGTTGGAATGCATGCTTGAACGGGTATTGCAAAATCAAGAGAAGTCCGACACTTCTATGAGGAACATGACCGAGCTTGTTGGCTCTCATACGACATCCATTCAAAAATTGGAGATGCAAATGAGAGACCTCTCTAGGGAACAAAATCCAAAGCAAAACGGAACACTCCCTAGTGACACAATTGCGAACCCAAGGGGTAGTGGGAGTGGCCCAACTTCTCATATCATGGCAATTACTACTCGGAGTGGGAAGATACTACAAGGAGAGGGTGAACAAGCAGTTGAAGTAGAAGAGTCCGAACAAGGGGTTGAGGTTGAAGAGCCAAGTGTTGTCGAAATTGAAAAGATTCCGGAAGAGTTGCAAGTGCAAAAAGAGAACCGGGGAGAGGTAAAGGAAAAGGTAAAAGAGGCACCAAAAACTGTTCCACCTATTCCTAGACCTCCTCCTCCATTCCCTCAAAGACTTGCTAGGAAGGTTGATGATAGCAAACTGGAAAAATTCTATGACATTATCAAGCAATTATTGGTAGCATTTCAAGAGATGCCGGGGTTTGCTAAATATTTGAAAGATTTGATCACCAAGAAGAAGACCACCAAGAATGAAGTAATGTGACTCACCGGGTTAGTTCTATCATTGCAACATCCACCGTTCAAAAGAAAGAAGATCCGGGAGCTTTCACCATTCCATGTATTATTGGGGAACGTGATTTTGCAAGAGCCCTTTGTGATAATGGGGCTAGCATCAACTTAATGCCTCTTGCCATCTTTAAGCCAGCAGGGTTAGGTATGCTAAGGCCCACAAGTATGAGATTGCAAATGGACGATCGTTCCATAAAAAGACCGGTGGGAATTGTTGATGATGTGCTTGTTAAGGTGGGAAAGTTTCATTTACCTGCCGATTTCGTAATCCTTGATTGTGCGGTTGACAAAGAGATCCCTATCATTTTGGGGAGACCATTCCTTGCCACTGGAAGAGCACTAATGGATTCGGAATGGAATGAAATCAAATTCTGTGTGAATGATGAAGAGGTTACATTCCAAGCAAGCAAGGGTATAAACTACCACATGAGTATGAAAGCATCTCGGTGATCGATGTTGTTGATGATGCGGTTGAAATGAAAATGGAAGAACAATGCCTCGGCGAGGCATTTGCGGCTATTTTGGTGAACTTTGATGGTGAAGATATGGAGGGGTATATGGAATCGGTAAATGCATTGGAGGGGCTTGGGTCTTACACTTATGCTCCAGCAAAGCTCTCTCTCGAGTTGGAGAATAGAGCCACTCCTCCCGCAAAGCCTTCTATTATCGAACCTCGGCAACTAGAGCTAAAACCACTTCCACCACACTTGACGTATAGTTTCTTGGCTCAAATGATACTTTACCGGTAATTGTTCCTTCTTTGTTGAATGAAGTGCAAGTAGAACAATTGTTGGAAGTAAGGAGCATAGGCAAGCTATTGGATGGACAATTGCGGACATCCGTGGGATTCCGCTGGAATTTGCGAGCACAAAATCCAATTGGAGAGTGATACTAAACCAAGTGTGGAACATCAACGACGATTGAACCCGTCAATGCAAGAGGTGGTAAAGAAAGAAATCATCAAGTGGTTAGATGTCGGGGTGGTCTACCCTATTGCCGATAGTTCTTGGGTGAGCCCGGTGCAATGTGTGCCGAAAAAGGGAGGCATGACCGTAATTGAAAATGAGAAAAATGAGCTCATCCCTACAAGAACGGTGACCGGTTGGAGGGTGTGTATGGATTATCAGAAGCTCAATAGTGCCACATGCAAAGACCATTTCCTTATGCCTTTTATTGATCAAATGCTTGATCGGCTAGCGGGAAGGTCATTCTATTGTTTCCTTGATGGATATTCCGGCTACAACCAAATCAACATAGCATTGGAGGATCAAGAGAAGACAACATTCACTTGCCCCTATGGAACTTTTGCCTTTAGCCGGATGCCATTTGGTTTATGCAACGCTCCGGCTACTTTTTAAAGATGCATGATGTCCATTTTCTCCGACATGGTAGAGGATTTTCTAGAAGTCTTCATGGACGAATTCTCGGTGGTAGGTGATTCTTTTGAGAATTGTCTTAACAATCTTAGACAAGTCCTTAAGAGATGTGAAGAGACCAACCTTGTGCTCAATTGGGAGAAATGTCACTTTATGGTGGATGAAGGCATTGTGTTGGGGCATAAAATCTCCAAACGTGGCATAGAGGTTGACCGGGCAATGATCGAGATTATTTCTAAGCTTCCTCCACCTACTTCCGTTAAAGGTGTTCGAAGTTTCTTGGGGCATGCCGGGTTCTATAGGCGTTTTATCAAAGATTTTTCCAAGATTGCAAATCCTATGTGCAAACTCCTTGAGAAAGATGCCAAATTTGTGTTTGATGAGAAATGCCTCAAAGCCTTTGAGGAATTGAAGCAAAGGCTCACCACGGCACCTATTATTGTCACACCCGATTGGTCTCTTCCTTTCAAGCTCATGTGTGATGCCAGTGGTGTAGCTATTGGAGCAATGCTTGGCCAACGTCACAACAAGGTTCTCCACCCGGTCTATTATGCAATCAAGACACTCAATGGGGCGCAAATGAATTACACGGTCACTGAGCAAGAACTTCTTGCCATTTTCTATGCCTTTGAGAAGTTCCGGGCTTATTTGTTGGGATCCAAGGTGATAGTGTACACGGATCATGCTGCTCTTCGCTATCTCATGGCAAAGAAGGATGCAAAGCCTCGCTTGATTCGATGGGTCTTGTTATTGCAAGAATTTGACTTCGAGGTCAAGGATCGTAAGGGAACTCAAAATCAAGTGGCGGATCATTTATCAAGGCTTGAGTAAGCAGGGAGACCAAAGGGAGATCTTGAAATCAACGATGCATTCCCGGATGAACACATATTGGCACTATCTAGCACTTTTGCTCCTTGGTATGCCGATATTCCTAACTATTTGGTTAGTGACCTTATTCCGGATGGATTGGAATCCTATCAAAGGAAGTTCTTGAGAGACTGCCGGCAATACTATTGGGAGGAACTATTCTTGTTCCGTGTTTGTGCTGACAATATTATCAGAAGGTGCGTTCCAGAAGAAGAGATTATGCCAATCCTAAAGGGATGTCATGACTCACCGGTTGGGGGTCATCATGGAGGAAATCGAACGGCGGCTAAGGTGCTTGAATGTGGTTACTATTAGATGTCAATCTATCATGATGCCAATCAAATGGTCAAGGCTTGTGACCAATGTCAAAGGCAAGGATCAATCTCCAAGAGGCATGAAATGCCAATGCACTTTGTCATGGAGATAGAAATCTTCGACGTATGGGGAATTAATTTTATGGGTCCCTTTGTGACCTCTTGTGGGATGAAATATATCTTTGTAGTTGTGGACTATGTGTCCAAATGGGTTGAAGCAATTGACTTACCAAACAACGAGGCAAGAAGTGTGACCGCATTCTTGAAGAAAAACATATTCACTCGGTTTGGCACTCCTAGGGCCATTCTTAGTGTTGGTGAGTCTCATTTCTGTAACAAAGCTTTCACGGGGCTACTAGAGAAGTATGGTGTCAAGCACAAGGTGGCCACACCTTATCATCCCCAATCTAGTGGTCAAGTTGAGGTTTCCAACCGGGAGATCAAGAGCATTCTAGCAAAGACTGTTAATGCAAACAGGACCGATTGGTCAAGGAAGCTAAATGACGCATTGTGGGCATACCGTACGGCGTACAAAACTCATATTGGTACTTCTCCTTACAGGTTAGTCTTCGGCAAAGCTTGTCATCTACCCGTGGAACTGGAGCACAAGGCCATGTGGGCTTTAAAGAGGTTGAACTTGGACTGGGCTGAAGTTGCAAATTTGAGGTTACCACAACTCAATGAAATGGAGGAATTCCGTTTCCATGCATATGAAAGTGCAACTGTGTATAAAGAAAGGATGAAGTTCGTCCATGACAAAAAGATCTTGAAAAGGGAGTTCAGGTCGGGTGACTTGGTTTTGCTCTTTAACTCAAGGCTCAAATTGTTTCCGGGCAAGATAAAATCAAAATGGTCCGGTCCGTTCAAAGTGGTAAATGTCTCTCCTTTTGGAGCTGTGGAACTACAATCGGAGGATGGGTTCCGAACCTTCAAAGTGAATGGCCAGCGAGTCAAGCATTACTTGGGCACAGATGGAGAAAAACATTTGGTGGAGCAGCTGGCTCTCAAAGATGGTCCATGCCCGACCAATGAGTGAATCCAAGGAAACGTCAACTTCGTCGTGCCGCGACGTTAAATCAAGCGTTTCATGGGAGGCAACCCATGTGTGGTATGGAGTTTTTAATTTTTGTTAGATAGATTTAATTGAGAAATTTAAAGTGTGTGTTAGAGTGCAGGGGATTCAAAAGATCATAACACTGGGTAAGATTGCATGAAAAAGGGAAGAAAAATCACTTTGCACAGTCTGCTGCACATATGCGGTCGCATTTTAACTATGCGGGCCGCATTTTGGTCGCAAACCAACACAGTGTGTTGGCTAAATCTGGTGGTAAAGATGCGACGAGTTGGTGCATTATGCGGACCGCATTTTTACTATGCTATCGCATAAGTGCACCGTATTTTTGGCCCTTCAGCAAGTCACCTGAATCTACCGCATAACACTTATGCGATCGCATAGTGTGTTATGCAGTAACTTACCCACCGCAAAATCGTCAGGTATATCTTCGCATCCTTTCATCTCTCACACATTCAAAAACAAAAACAAAAACAAGTAGATAGTTGTCCATCTTTAGTCATTAGCAATGAATTCCCCTTGGTTTTTCTTCGCCGGGTTCTTTTCCAAGGGTGTAATAGTAGAACCAGGACAGTAAAATGAAACATGTTGACCAGTTTGGTGTAATTGTCTAATCTCAAGCATGTGTGTCTGTATATAGCCTATATCCTTCCATTAAAAAAAAGAGATCAACTGTGTGAACTTGAGGCTCGCTCTGTGACTCTATGTCTACCTAGAGTTATACATGTATATATGATGAAGGCTTTGAGTTGCCGAGTGTTGACTCGAGGGGTTCAAACTATGTAAGCCAAACAGTTCGTGTACCATGTGTGTGAGTTCTTTGTGTAAATAATTCTTGTGTTTACTTCTGCCATCTAGAACTTGCCTGGTTGGTTTTTCAATGCTTTTAATAATTACATTTGGTTGGAGAAATGACCTTAGGCAGTCTTTGTGATTTTTGGAAAACCAGTTAGCCTTTCAAGCCACCCATTGTACAGATAGTATCACTAGTCACCCCATTTGAGCTTTTAACCTTTTCTTTGGCTACCTCATTACAAACCTTTCCCTTTTTGTGAAATAATTTCCTCTTTTGAACCCGTCCCTCCTTGAGCATTGAGAATGAGGCTAAAAGCCTAAGTTGGGGGTGTGTGTCAAGCCAGAAATTGGCAAGGTTGTGCAATGAGCGTAGGGAAGTGTACCTCAAAATATGAAACTACTCAAGCTCCTAAGGCAAAGTATATAAAAGAAAAAGAAAAAAAAAAGAGAAAAACAATTGAAAAAAAAGAGAGTATAAGAGTTGTAAGCTTTTATGCATAAGGAGCCTTGAAGAGAATAAAAGAGGTAGTTGAGGTGGCTAAATGGTGAAAAAGTTGATACAAATGAAGGCTTTGTGGTTTGAAAAGAAGCAAAGAGCACAAGAAAGAAAAATGTGATTAGTGTTCAAGGAGGGTATAGTCACTTGTACCCAAATGCTTATCCGACCCTTCCCTAAACTTTACAAGCTTAAAAAGTTCTTATGGGATCTCCAACCGAGCGTTCTTAGAATAAAGAGATGAATTAAAATAAGGGCAAGCCTATGGTATGGTATTTGTAACACTTGAAACTCTTTCTGAGGGTGAGTGAAATTGTGAATTCATCCCTTTGGTTGTAAGTGTAAATAGAGTGATTTTGGGACTTTCTTTCTAATAAGGGCACATGAACTGGGAGACTGGACAAAAGTTGAGTTTTTGAGTCAAATGCAAATGCACTCAGCTGAGGGTAGCATTTTGTCACATTGTTTGAGGCTCACAGTTCACAAGTTGATTAGTTCTTTGTAAATATTGATGATTCAGGAAGGGTAAACAATAGAAAAATGCATGCTTGTAGTACTGACAACGGACACCGCCCACGGTCACTATTGTTTCATGTCTGTTAGATGAAGTCTAGAATAGGATAGTGTCATTTTAGTTGCTTGAGGACAAGCAAGAGTTTAAGTTGGGTGTTAATGTGCCGGAGAATTTCGGCACATTTCAATGCAAATTGCTTAGATTTTAGCTTGTTTTGAATGCAATTATCTCCTATACTTATGTAATTTTAGTATTTTTGCAGTACATGAGGTATAAGGACCTAAGAGCATGAAAATGAAAGCAAAAAGCCACAAAAAGACAAGAAAAGAGCAAAATGCAGCACAAATGTGGAAATGCGGTCTAAGATGCAATCACAAATCCTACATGCGAGCCGCATAATGTGCAAAGGATCGCAAACCAAAATAGAATGTTGGACAAAGTCCAGTGCAAGAAATGCGGTCCAGAATGCGATCGCACAACAGGTTTGCGAACCGCATAATGGACCGCAAACTCATGGGGCAAAATGCTGATGGTGGAAAATGCGACGCAAAATGCGATCGCATATCTGGAATACGGACCGCAAATCAACAATGCGACGACGGCCTGGAAACTAGGGTTCTGAAGTGCGATGGACATGAAGAGAATGCGGACCGCATGTCTGTTATGCGACAGATAGCGGTCGCATATTTAATTGGAAAGGGCATTTTTGTCCGTTTTTGTCCCGAATTTCGGCCCTCTATAAATAGATTTAATTGGGGTTTTGTGGGCTCATCTTGTCTGACTTTGAGACTACAATACAAGGCTTTAATATTCCTCTCTTTTGGAAGCTATTGGGTTAAGAATCTTCCACTTTGTAAGCTTTATGGCATTTAATATTCTCTTGTTTTTGTATTTTAGTATGAGTAGCTAACTTTAAATACTAAGGTTGTGGACCCTAAATGGGTGTTATGTTAATGGGTGCTTAACATTGAATATATATATAATGGTTGGTTGATATTTATTTACTTCTCATTCTTCATTCATTGTTGGTGGTTGCAAACATTAACAAATGCCATTAAATTCTTGCTTTGCTTGGGAAAGTGGGTTAGAATTTGGTAGAGTAAATATCAAAGACTCAAGGCTTTAAACCTTGTTTAATAGAACCGCTTAGGAATAAGTGAATTTTATTTGGCATATATTGATTGTTATTAATTGCAACTCTTTTATATTTGGAAAAATCATAAAGAGGAAATACTACCCGACTATTGGAAAATATTGGGGACATCATTTGCATATCAAAAGGACCTTCTATTCGAAATATATCATATCAACACCGATAGCATTGCACTTCATTAAAGGGGACACAACCTTGGTTTCTCTAATCAAATTATTTACATTCTCAACATTACAATTAGTCATTACTTCAAACCAAAATCATTTCATACTCTTGTTACCATTAACCGAATAAAATTACGACTTTAGTCAAGTAACACACTATTTGAGTAACCTTTTCACACCTATTCCCTGTGGGATTCGACCCTAACCTTGTTGGGTTATTATATTTGACATCGACCGCCTTACACTATTTATTAAAGTGTAATTTGAGCGTATCATCATGTTGACCCAATACACAGCCAAATGAATTATCTAGGACTATCAAATAAAGAATCAAAGGTCTCCCTGGTTCCGGCGGTACCAACACAGGCGGGTTTGACAAATACTCCTTGATCTTATCGAATGCTTCTTGGCACTCATCGGTCCATTTGACCGCGACATCCTTCTTTAACAACTTGAAGATGGGCTCGCTAAGTGGTCGTGAGTTGAGCAATGAACCTGCTGATGTGATTCAACCTCCCTAGCAGACTCATCACCTCAGTCTTTTTCTTTGGCGGTGGTAATTCCTGGATAGTTTTGATTTTTGACGAATCCAGCTCGATGCCCCGCCGACTGACTATGAAGACTAACAACTTGCCCGACGGGACACCGAATGCACACTTTGCAGGGTTGAGCTTAAGATTGTATCTGCGGAGCCTCTGGAAGAACTTCCTTAAATCTTTGACGTGGTCAGACTGCTTCCTGGACTTTACGATTACATCATCCACGTAAACCTCGATCTCCTTGTGTATCATGTCATGGAATATGGTAGTCATTGCCCTCATGTAAGTTTCCCCGACGTTTTTCAAACCAAATGGCATGACCCGATAGCAGTATATTCCCTATGGCATATAAATGCCGTCTTTTCCGCATCTTCCTCATCCATTAAGATCTGATGATATCCCGCATAGCAATCCACAAAAGACCTAATCTCATGCTTGGCACAATTATCAATCAAAATGTGGATATTTGGAAATGGGAAGTTATCCTTTGGACTTGCTTTGTTGAGGTCACGATAATCGACACATACTCTGGTCTTACCGTCTTTCTTTGGCACGGGCACAACATTAGCTAACCACGTGGGATACCGCGTGACTCGAATGACCTTTGCCTCAAGCTTCTTTGTGACTTCTTCTTTGATCTTCACACTCATGTCGGTCTTAAACTTCCTTAATTTCTGCTTGACGGGAGGGAAGTTGGATCGGTTGGTAATTTATGGACCACCAAGTCGGTACTCAACCCCGGCATGTCATCATATGACCATGCAAAAATATCCTTGTATTCAAACAATGCTTTGATTATTTCTTCCTTGATTTGTGGTTCAAGATGGACACTTATCTTGGTTTCTCTGACATTATCTGGATCTCCTAAATTGATTGCTTCGGTTTCATTCAAATTAGGCTTGGGTTTTTCTTCAAAATGATTTAATTCTTTACTGATTTCCTCAAGTGCCTCATCCTCATCATATTCTGTTTCATCGTCACTTTCTATTTCTTGGATTATTATTTCAGAATTAGATTGACTTTTAAGACTTGGCCGAAGATTCCTCATGCATGTCATGTCATTGAAACCAGCATAAAAAGAACTGTACAAAGAAGAAAAGAAAACAAAAATAAAAACTATCACGAATGATGGAAAAAGGGAAATTGCATTTCATTGAAAATAAAGGATAACAGGGTTTGTACATCAAACAAGCGAGAAAATAAAAACCTGGGTCATAACCCTGGAATGACCTAGATAGAAAGGAAAACAAAGCAAACTACCAAAACTCCCTCCGAGTAGGGAGAGGAGTAGCCTTCCAATTGT